AAAGTGCCCGGGGGTGGGGGGGGGGGGGGGTATGATGACTTGTGAGAAAGTCAGAATTGTTTCTATTTCCTTTATTTCATTTGGGGAAAATTAGTTTTGGGCGGCCCAGTGGACGAATGGTTCGCGCGTCCACCTCACAGTACAGAGGTCGTGGGTTCGATCCCGGCTCCGGCCTTCCTGTGTGGAGTTTGCATGTTCTCCCGGGGCCCGCATGGGTTTTCTCCGGGTACTCTGGTTTCCTCCCGCGTTCCAAAAACATGCATGGCAGGCTGATTGAAATGGATGGAAAATTAGTTCCAAAAATCTGAACAACTTGGGCCAGTGTCGTGGAATGGATTGTTTTCCAACAAACGTCCAAATAAAAATTTAACAAGGCAGATGACCGTCTGCATAGGTTCTGTTTTTCATTTTGCTGGAAGGAGGTTGTTGGCACAAGTGGGGTTCTAATTAGTATTCAGACAACCTATACAAAGCAATTAGGTACTGACTAACTCAATCGAGGCCCAGAATAAGGAATGTGAATGCAATTGAGGCAGTTCGCAGTCCTCTTACATGGAGGTTGTCCCCACTATGGCTGATTTCAGGGTCAGGGGGAGGTGATCCGTTTTCTTTGCTGCGCAGGAAGCAAGTTTTGATCATCCGGCCCCAGGCAAACAACCGCAGACGCGCGACATAAAATGCGCAACCTTTGATGTCTCCCCGTAAACGGCGTGAGTTGCGCTTCGAGCAGCAGCGGGTGGGCCACCCGAGTGTTTCTGTGGCGTCTTCCAAACATTTTACGCGCCCTTGCAAAGATGCCACGTTGGCTTGGTCTGGATTCTCACGCTCTAGTCCCAAGTGGCACACTTTGGATATGTGTCATGGCAGCGTGATGTGTCAATACGTGTCACTTGAATATGGGCAGTCAAAAAAAAAAAAAAAAACATCCGGGCGTTCATTTGGATGGTTCATTTGGGTTTAAATCCAGCCGGGAGAAGCTAACGACGCTAGTAACGGCACAATATGGAGCCAAAAGCATTTGCCGTCTCACATCCAGGGCCGTGAGACTGGATGAATCAATATTGCTCAACACATTATTGACCTGTGCCTGATACCTTTCACGGGGATAAAAAAAGGGACATAAACATGAGATGGAAGGAGGAGGTAGAAATAAATGCGTGCATGTTTGTGAGTCCCTGCCCGGAGAGGCTACTGATGTACATTCTGCTTCACTGATATGTACCTCATCACCGTCTCCTTGACCCGATGTCCTGATTGCACAGACAGACAGACAGAGAAAGAGTGACAGATCGGAGGTAGATGGCGGGAGAGAAGAAGAGAGGCAAAAAGAGTTGACTGCGGTGATCCAGCTAATTTATCAGCCCAGTCAAAACACGCGGCCATTGCGCTCAACAGGATGCGGGGGGGCCGGGACGCGACGGCGGACAGACAGAAAGCCCAGCTGCTCCTCAAAACTGGCACGGGGCTTGGGTGCTGAAAGCAGACGGGCGCGCACGCGTGCGTGCACGCGCACACACACACACACACACACACACACACGACGGATGACGGCGCTAATACGCCGCAGACACAACATCCACTCAGCTCGCACTCCACAGAGACGGCACAGGCCAAGAAAAAGACGGGGATAAAAAGCAAGAAGCTAAAAAAAAAAAAAGAATATATGTCTGCCACCGTGTAGAGGAGGCAGATTGCAGGATCAGATATTGCTTCACATTGTCGGCTGACTTTATTCACAAAGACAACTTGTAGCCACTGTTGGATGTTGTTAGTTAATTTCGTGGCGACGTTTTTGACAGACAATTTCTGTCTTGCCCACAAGACCTCCAATTGAGTTGCCTGGTGTGCTTCCACTTCAATGTCTCGAATTTTAGCCATCAGCGAGGCCTCGGATTGTCACGATCTTTGTTGTCGTTCACACTTTAGCCGCCGAGTCCCTTTCTGAAATCCCGTCGCTAACCAAAGTAGTGCTTCGACTAGCGGGGCTCGCACAGAACAGATGATTGTAAGGAACATTTTGGACATGGCTTCCCCTTTAACAATGCCTTTTTTTTTTTTTTTTTTTGTGGAGACGGCACCTTTGGAGTTTCGAACGCTGTTGCTAACCAAATTGGGAGCACTCACAGTCTCCCAGGTGGACATAAGCATGGAATCTTTCAACAGTATTCAAGCTGATTTCATGACTCAAGAAGGACAGCGTCTTATCTACAAGGCAATTAAAAAAAAAACAAAAAACTGCATTGCTAACCAAAGCAGAAGCACCACATCAAGTCAACACGCTTTCGGTTGAGTGTATTCCAGGTGCGAACGCCGCCTAAGATCTTTTAAATTCAACCGAATGAAGACTCGAGGACTCACTCGAAGTCATGTGGAATCAAAGGGATTAGATGCATTGTCGGAGCGGACCTCCAGCAGGACCAAAGCGTCTTCTGTTTACCAGATCTACCCCCATACAAACTGTAATTGCCACACAAAGGGGAAAAAAAAAAGACAACAACTAGCATCAATAAACTACTGTTGAAGATAGTGAAAATAAAGAGCCCCCCAAAGTCCTTCATCTCATCATGTTGATAACGCCTCATAAACGCCAAGCAGGCCCTAAAAGCGTGCCCCGACCCTCGTAAAGATAAGACCAACAAACAAAAGTCTTTCCTTTTCTTGCTGAGCCGTTCACCAGCAGAGAGGACCTGTGCTGGAGGGTGCGGGGGTGGGGGGGGGGGGGCTTGAGAGCCCTGGGGGGCTCCGGAGCCAAAATTAAACCAGGCCTGTCTTCTTGGCTTTGTCAGTGTTAGATACAGACAGTGAGCGACCGTGTCGGACAGTCACACACGCACACGGGGTTGGAAGACCCTCCGCCCCGCCTCTTGTACAGGCTGCTTGCCAAAGATGCCCTGAGTCATTAAATTACACATGCGTGCACGCACACACAAACACACGCACAGTAAACATACATCAAACGCACATAACACTCACACATTATCGGACATGTACACACATTCACACACAGAATCATACGACTTCATACATGCAATCACAGAGGCACACGCACCTAAAAAAAAAAATCTCACACACGCCACAATATCACAGGTGTAAACAATCATGAAACCACATGCAGTATCACACAATATCACACACACACGCACACAATATCAAAATATCACAGACACACACGATGACATAAACAGTCGCACAATATCACACATACACTCCTTCACTTAATCACACTACTTCACATGCAATCACACAAACACCGAAAACAGAACAAAACAATGGCAATATAACAGACAATCACACAATACTGCACATGTACTATACAGACAATATACAGTACACAATCACACTACTTCATACACACTATCACACACACGCACACACTTCGAAATACAAACCTACAAACACACCAACACTACAAATCACACAATGTCACCGGGACAAACAATCACAATATCTCACACAGACAAAATCGCATCCCCACACACACACACACACACACACACACACACACACACACACACACACACACACACACACACACACAGATCCCTGGTTTAGCATCAACCCAGTGCCGGGATTACGGGATTAGAACTCTATTCCATTATCTCCCCACACTGTATCGTATCCACGCACGCACGCACGCACGCACACATGCGCACACACAGAGTCTTGACCAGCGAGTATCCATCATAACGCAGGATTTTGACACAGCAGACGATACAGTTGGGGTGGCTTCTTCACGCTTCCAAGTAACAAGAAGTCGTCTCGGGGCACTTTGAGCCGACCACGCTTTGCTTCTGGGATTCTTCTGAGGGGCTTCTGCGGTTCTGGCGCAGCGTCACCGCTTAAGCGCACATAGCAAATGATGTTGAGTCAGCGATTCTGGACTCATTGTGCCATGTCTGTGTTGTGTAAAGGTTTATGACTGAGGTTCTCAAGTGATTAGTACACGCTCAACCTTAAAAAGCGTCTCTCAGGGCAGAAATTTAATTTATGGGAAAAAGATGCCGTCTAAATGGCTGAAAACTTTGGGGTTCAACAAAAAGATGGAATCTGAATCTACGGTAGTTCTTGCTCCTTGGGGATATTTTCATGAAAATGTCACACGTTAGACTTGCCAACGGTTTGAAGTTGTGAAAATGAAGGCATCATATGTCTCCAAGTGTCAAATCATGAAATGTCAACTTTGTTTTGGAAACGCATTGGAGCGAACGTGAGTGTAGGTGAGAAAAGAATATCCGGACTGGGAGCACGTCACTTACGTAGTCGTGGAAGGCCTTGGCCTCACTGGAGTGCTCGCAGGTCTCTCGTCGGTCTGGAGCGGCGCAATACAAGTCCCAGAATACACTGAAACGTCAGGACAGGGGGAAAGTTCAACTCCACGTAAAGTGAATACAAATATGTCTTCTAAATTTGACTGCACGGGGAAGAGTGTTGCCCTGCGATCGGCTGGCAACCGGTTCAGGGTGTCCCCCGCCTAGTGCCCAAAGACAGCTGGGATAGAGTGTTATTAATTAAACAATGCTGAGGAATTTGAATGGCAAAAAAAAAAAAAAAGTAATATCTAAAATGAAACTTTGAAATCAGCGGGGTTCAGGTTTTGTGGCTTCAGTCAATTGCTGGGTTTTTATTTGTGACCATAACTTTATCTTTTGCCTGTTTATTTTGCTTCTTCACAAACTTTCTTGCTACTTTTCTTCCTTCTAAATCAGACCAGACCTTCTAAACCAGACTTTTTTTACAAAAAGTGAGACCACGGACATTAAAACTCGTCGCCCTGAAAATTTCTTTTCCTTCGACTTAGGTTCAAAAGAATCAGTCTTTGCTCATCGATTGGGAATGAGTGGGCGAGGAACTGGGTGAAACACGGATGCAGTTAAACACGTGTCCAATCAGACGACAACCCCCCCCAGCCCCGACATGTCCCGCTAATTGCAGACGGCGATCCCCGAGCTGTGTGAACTTATAGATGTTTTGATCCCAAAAAGTCAACTAATTATCCGACTTAGCCTTCCCCTATCATGAGGTCAGAGTGCACCGCGGGCGCCCTGCCGGCATGCATATCAATGCTTAACGATGATCATAAACGGCTTTGGGCACAGGAGCTCAAAAGGTAGCGAGACCAAAAACAAAAGCTAAGAGGCACAAGAACGGGCGCTCGCATCAGTTTTTAACTGTGACTACTCAAAATGATCACCAAACTTAAAATATACCCCCCTTGCTCCGCTCAACCCAAAAGTGCATTTAAGACGACTTCGACGTGTTTCTTGACATTTTACGCATGCTTGATGGGAGGATTGACCATGACATGCTTGCTATTTCTCCCGCCGCCGCCCCCACCCACATTAACCCGGGTTGTAACCTCTCTGAATTATCATTCTGTCCATCCTCTTAGTAGCTATTAAAAACACGTCCTTGGGTTTTCATATTGCTGATGGTGCTGCGCCGGCCCCGGCGTTCGTACTTATGACTCAGCAGAATCATCCCCAGAGGTTAAAAGTTACACTGCTGTACGTTTTTTTTTCTCCCCCAAAAATACAATTTTAAGGCTACGCACAGTCTGTGATTTTACATGAAATATTTGCTCGATTGTCATATGTGCATTGGTAATTTGGCACAGAACCATCCGTGACTAACACTGCCAATTAACACAAAATCCAGTTTCTCTTGATAAATGTATCGCTGTCTCCCATTTTTTTTCTTCAGTTTTATTAATATTTTAATTTCGAACATTGTAAGTTTTGAAGAATAGCAAATGTATGCGTATTATTACTGACAAAAAAAAAATACATTGATATTTCAGATGTATACTTTATCTGAACAAATGAGCAAATCATTCTTTTCCGGACATAAAAGAATGTTTGAAAAGTTTTTCGGGATTCCTAAAGCAACGACCGGGCACAAAGGCCGTTAAACCTAAGTGCGCGTTACACGGTCAATAAAAGGAATTTTAGCATTCACTGCCAATGGCATTGACTCAACAGTCCGAGCTAATATATGCGCGTGTAAAACAGCTTCACTTTTAATTGAGCAAGCTAATTTATTGCGGGCCTCGGGGTCCGGTTCACGCTCTTATTACTCCGGGGCTATGTCCAAATCCCGGCGGTGTCGTCGCGCAAGTCGCCGTAGGTGAGCGCGGATTAGTCTTGACTTCAATCCACGGATCGGAACAATCTGCTTAAGGTGAAGAGTTTAATGTCGTCTACTGTGGTGAACGTAAGCGGGCGTTGGACTTTTCTATCCCCTTAGGATGCGAGCCCATATGCTGTTCGGAACACGTCGCGGCGGCGGGACATCTGATGAGCGCGCTTTCGACGACACATCCTCTGTCGCGCCGGATTGAAACGAGCAAAATGGCAGATTTTCTGTGTTGTAAATGCAGAACCCCCTGCGGTCAAAACCTTAGCCAGGGGGCATAAATGACAGTGACAAGGGGGTTTAAGGGCGCAAAGGGGAGAAACTGGGGACGGCTGGCATAAAAGGAGACTGGAATGCAACGGGATAATCTGCTAAGAATCCTTCTGCTGCGTGAACAAAAGGAGAAAAGTGTGTGTGTGTGTGTGTGTGTGTGTGTGGTGGTGGCGGGGGGCACAAAAGGGTAAGGAGGGGGAGGCCATCCATTTTCCCAACCATCTGGATCCATTGTTTCAGGAAGCGGGAGGTGAAAGAAAGATGCAACGCTGGAGGAGGGGAGAGCACGGAGAGCGAAGGTGGGTGGGCGGGGTTCGGATATGGTGAGGGCTTCGGGGGGGTCGGGGTCGCACCCCTCAGTGAGTCTGGTCAAGCCAGAGACTCTGGTACACCCCCGGTGAACATGTTTCTGATTTGTATCTATTTATTTTTTTCAATTCTATCCCAAGAGGAAGCACTGCAATAAAGTGCGACAGCTTCGTGGAACTCGTGACACTCACCACCACCACGAATGGAGAAATCCAGGAGGCTCCCCTAACGTGATGTTCTTCTCCCATCGTATCTAAGAAAGGAAGAAGAAAGACTCACAGTCACTACCACGAAGGCGACTTGGCATACTGTCGTTCAGGGGCTAAGAACCAGTCGGGTACGGGAGGGCCATGTCTCCACTGAAAATGTTGCCATTCTGTTCAGTTCTTGGGATTTTTTTTTGGTTGCCTCGCTTGTCATATTTGAATTTTAGCCGCAGAGACTACACACGTCACTACTGTGGTACCTCTACTTATGAAATTGATGTGTTCTGGAAGAAATTTCTGAACAAGAAAATTTTGTAAGTCGAGGCGCGTTTTCCATGTAAATGCCCTAATCCGTTCCAAGGCCCCAGAAATTCAGACATAAATGTTTTCTAAAGCATAAAAATGGAGCAAATATATGTTACAATTTAATTATTGCACAATAAATGAGAGTTGTGCGTCATGTCAAAAACAAAGAAGAGAGTAAAGAATATTTAATGATGGTCATTAAACTTTTAACTGCGTCCTCGTTGGTTTTTGCCCTCTTTAGTTCATGTGCTCTCCCAGAAGTGGTTTTTTTACCTGGCGTTTTTGTCAAGACCTGAGCAAAGGACGTCTGCTTTTGTCGGCTTTTAACAATCCTTCGAAAATGTCCAAGGCAAACATCAGCATAGTGAGCAATCGCCCGACTGGAGAACACTTTTTCTGGGTGATTCACATTGACGTCAAAATATCGCAACGCCTCATGGCCCGAGGGGCAAATGACGAAGACGCTGCATAGACACATACGGTAGAGGTCCCTCTTAGCCAATGGGATGCCAGGAAGATGTTCGGTCGTAGCCAATGGCAGAGCAGCTACAAGTACGTTGCTTTCAGGAAACCCGGAGCTGCGAGAAGCGGGCCATTCTTTATTTTTTACCTTTCATATCTTTAAATTTCTTTCGTAACAAGAAGCGATATTTTCCTTTTGTGGCGTTTCGTGACTTGAAAATTTCATCTGAAGAGGCATTCGTAAGTAGAGGTACCACTTTATTTCATCCACAGGTAGGTCGACATATATAATTATAAAATTGAAAAAGTATAGGAATAAAATGCCTGTCTCTATCCGTCTAAAGTTACTGAGGCTTTGTTTGGGTGGCCCGCATCGGGTGTTGCTGAGTTGACATCACGCACGGCGTTGATGCCAGGAAAACACGCCGTAACTTTATCGGGTGGCCTCATAAAAAATGCACACCGCAGCTCGCCCGCCGCCGCCGCCGCTCATGCAATCGTCATGAGGACATCAGCGACAACATCCAGTCGGACCCTCAAAGGACTTCTTTTAGGGTCTACGGTGCAGGCGGTGTTTTTGCATTTTGATGGGTTTTTCTCAGGTGCTCCCAGCTTCCTCTAATGGAAGGCCTTAAAAGTGGTACCAAAATCTTACTTCAGACAGGAAGGTCTGTGCCGACTTCTGTGCTCCGACGTGTAGCAGGTACTCGTACACGAGAGCACGGAGAGCGAAGGTGGGTGGGCGGGGTTCGGATATGGTGAGGGCTTCGGGGGGGTCGGGGTCGCACCCCTCAGTGAGTCTGGTCAAGCCAGAGACTCTGGTACACCCCCGGTGAACATGTTTCTGATTTGTATCTATTTATTTTTTTCAATTCTATCCCAAGAGGAAGCACTGCAATAAAGTGCGACAGCTTCGTGGAACTCGTGACACTCACCACCACCACGAATGGAGAAATCCAGGAGGCTCCCCTAACGTGATGTTCTTCTCCCATCGTATCTAAGAAAGGAAGAAGAAAGACTCACAGTCACTACCACGAAGGCGACTTGGCATACTGTCGTTCAGGGGCTAAGAACCAGTCGGGTACGGGAGGGCCATGTCTCCACTGAAAATGTTGCCATTCTGTTCAGTTCTTGGGATTTTTTTTTGGTTGCCTCGCTTGTCATATTTGAATTTTAGCCGCAGAGACTACACACGTCACTACTGTGGTACCTCTACTTATGAAATTGATGTGTTCTGGAAGAAATTTCTGAACAAGAAAATTTTGTAAGTCGAGGCGCGTTTTCCATGTAAATGCCCTAATCCGTTCCAAGGCCCCAGAAATTCAGACATAAATGTTTTCTAAAGCATAAAAATGGAGCAAATATATGTTACAATTTAATTATTGCACAATAAATGAGAGTTGTGCGTCATGTCAAAAACAAAGAAGAGAGTAAAGAATATTTAATGATGGTCATTAAACTTTTAACTGCGTCCTCGTTGGTTTTTGCCCTCTTTAGTTCATGTGCTCTCCCAGAAGTGGTTTTTTTACCTGGCGTTTTTGTCAAGACCTGAGCAAAGGACGTCTGCTTTTGTCGGCTTTTAACAATCCTTCGAAAATGTCCAAGGCAAACATCAGCATAGTGAGCAATCGCCCGACTGGAGAACACTTTTTCTGGGTGATTCACATTGACGTCAAAATATCGCAACGCCTCATGGCCCGAGGGGCAAATGACGAAGACGCTGCATAGACACATACGGTAGAGGTCCCTCTTAGCCAATGGGATGCCAGGAAGATGTTCGGTCGTAGCCAATGGCAGAGCAGCTACAAGTACGTTGCTTTCAGGAAACCCGGAGCTGCGAGAAGCGGGCCATTCTTTATTTTTTACCTTTCATATCTTTAAATTTCTTTCGTAACAAGAAGCGATATTTTCCTTTTGTGGCGTTTCGTGACTTGAAAATTTCATCTGAAGAGGCATTCGTAAGTAGAGGTACCACTTTATTTCATCCACAGGTAGGTCGACATATATAATTATAAAATTGAAAAAGGATAGGAAAAAAATGCCTGTCTCTATCCGTCTAAAGTTACTGAGGCTTTGTTTGGGTGGCCCGCATCGGGTGTTGCTGAGTTGACATCACGCACGGCGTTGATGCCAGGAAAACACGCCGTAACTTTATCGGGTGGCCTCATAAAAAATGCACACCGCAGCTCGCCCGCCGCCGCCGCCGCTCATGCAATCGTCATGAGGACATCAGCGACAACATCCAGTCGGACCCTCAAAGGACTTCTTTTAGGGTCTACGGTGCAGGCGGTGTTTTTGCATTTTGATGGGTTTTTCTCAGGTGCTCCCAGCTTCCTCTAATGGAAGGCCTTAAAAGTGGTACCAAAATCTTACTTCAGACAGGAAGGTCTGTGCCGACTTCTGTGCTCCGACGTGTAGCAGGTACTCGTACACGTACAACGCCAACCTGAAATGCAAACAGCAAGCTCAAGACAAACGGTTCAGGATGGAATTTTTTTCGTTTGCGGCAGTTTACAAACAAGCGATTCGATGTAATGGTGGGCGTACAGAGCGAGAGGCGCTCGGCAGATCGCTTGTCAGCGCCGAGCAAAGCGTAAAACTCGCACAAAGAAACAGTCTGATCTGTCTGTGACTGAAATTTAGCATCTGCTGATTTTGACTCTTTAATGCAGGGGTGTCAAACTCATTTTAGTCGCGAGCCAATTTGGAGTTACGTCTTCCATTGGAGGGCCGTTATGACAGTGAAACCACAAAATTATTGCTTGTACACAACAAATTCATAGGTTATTAGTTTTGAAATCAGTCAAGTCAATTATAATACATGTAGTCTGTTCAATTATTGTTGAAGTGAGTGTAAACTGGGCAACAAAATTGTTGCAAAACCTCAATGTAATTTTTTTTACACATGGCAATTTCAAATTTCGGTACATATTTTAGCAAGTTGACAGACACGATTTGCTTTCGCCGGCCACATAAAATGACCTGGCGGGCCGGATCTGGCCCCCGGGCCTTGAGTTTGACACCTGTGCTTTAATGGATAGGCTGGATTCGCATGGCTCAATTGGCAGGTTCGGTTTTTGAGTATCACACTTGGAATAAGCATACCGACCCAGGAGCGTTATTGCTGTTCCTGCGCATCAGACGTAACTACGTGGCTAATTGGCTAGTAATCAAGCGATTCTGGCAGCGAACGCCATCGCGGAGGTCACAAACGGCAGCTCGTGTAGTCCAAATGGCTTTTTTCTTTTTTTTTAAAAAAAGCAGGGGACACACCTAGTCTATTAACAGACAGCGGACTCGTGCTGAGAAGTCGGGAAAACCCCCTATTGACCCGACATCGCTGCTCCCCGACTCCCTCTCTTAGTCGCGTTTAATAGGCCATTAACGGACCATCAATCGAGCGGCGGCGCGGATATGACAGCGCGCTGTTGGCGAGAAAGACCTCATGACGGGACAATCGCGCCCTAATGAGAGGGACGGTAAGTAAGCCCGCTGTCGGTCAGCGGTCGGTTGATGAAAAACCCGGTCCGGGGAGAACCTGGATGCCAAAGCGTTGCCTTGATGCCGAGTCAGCAGGTTGGAGTTGACACAGGGCTCCCGGCGGTTCCTAAATGGTGGCATTTTGCTCCTAAAATTTGAGGCAGGGCGAGTGGAATCTTGTTTAGGGGAATCAGAAGCGATAATAGCAAAAGCAGAATGCTAATAAAACAAAGCGCGATTCCTATTTTGAATTATGTCATGACTATTTGCTGGTTGTATAGACAAAAGGGGAACTAATTAAAAAGTCATCTCTCCCAGCTCGACTGAAAACCAAGTTACAATAAGCGTTGGCCGTGAAATGCATCAGCCTGAGGTGACAACGTGAGCAACCGCTTACACACGCGCGCACGCCAAAAGGTTGTATTGTGTTCAGTTCACCGCAACAAACATCGCACGACTCCAGAGCGCCGATGATTAACGTAAAGGTTGAGCTAGCCGCACTTTGATGACAATCACCGCCAATGAGTCATCCGCTCTGGCCTCCAGCGCTGATCATAATTTATGCCGGGATGCTATTTTGGCAGGTTGTTTCTCAGGGACGGATGAATTAAAAGTTCTCCTCTTCAAGAAACACTAAAGCGCCTCCTCAGCCGCGTTACGGGCGCCCAAACGTGTTTTTTTTGCCACGGTGACGCAAGCCTCCCACGTTAGACAGGTTCTCCGAGATGTCTCAAAAGCCCGCCACAAAGGTGCTACAGTTGAGTTTAACTATAATTGATTAACTTTTGCACTTATAGAATTGGTGGTTTTAACTGTGCCCACAACGTTAAAGCTTATTGATTTCCCATGTGGCTAATTGTGGCTAAAGTTTAGTCTCATAAACGCATGTGATGATGTGGCTAACAACATGCCAGTGTGGCCAAGAGCTTTTTATACTCTTTAGCCACATTGGGGAAGACGTTTCAGGATCCGGTGCCGACCCCGAAGAAGGATTTTTATTTTAAACAAGCACATAGCTTAGCCATTGCGCAGGTAGCTTAATGCTAATGCCAACACATCATGGGAAAAGCATATATATCTCTCTACGCAACTGACACTTAAACAGAAAAGGTGCACCGATGCATTTAGACATTCAGCATAAAGTGTATACTCAGTCATATTTATCTTCAGCGAAGAGCTGGGACGTCAATGTACAGGGCAGAGTATCTGTGGCAGCGTACTACTTCTTTTGAATTCTATTTAATTATGAACAAAGTTCGGCACCATCAAGTGCTATCCCCCCCCCCACAAAAAAAAAAAAAAAAAAAAAAAAAAAAAAACACGACAATTTATTTATTTATTTTTTTTGCAGGTGCTGGAACGGATTAATCCAATTCCCATTCATGTCAATGGAACCAATGATTCAACATGAGAGAGTTACGTTCCAAGCGTGGTCGAGCAAAGAATTCAACTCACATCTCAAGGTACCACTGTTTGTGATTCTAAGCCAAATGAGTAATTAAAAAAGAAAAAAAGAAAAAAAAAAAGACCAAGACCAAAGACCCAAGCTTGCCGTACTGTTAACAACCTCTCAGACAACGCGAGCTTGCGCCCTGACACGCACACCAAGTCTCACTCACTCACTTGACCGCACGGCCGCAAGAATCTGACCACTTTCCTTCGAGCTCCTTTGCAATTTGTCGGTCACAAAGCTGCTAGTGACCGCTGGTGTAGAGTGGAAGACATCATCACTTGCAAATCACGAAACACACACACACACACGCACACACACAAGAAGTGCTTACCTGCGCACATACTCATCCCTTCATTGGGGATTTAAACGATGGCAAAGCTACAAAAAATAAATAAATAAATAAATAATATTTAATGAGAGGTTCCATTCATGTTTACATGGTGGATGAGAGTCCTTCCATTAAATTTTTACGGGCGGCGTGTACATGTGTTTGCGTGTACCTGCCCTGTTTCATTATTCAAGTTTATGGAAGCTTGGGGAGAGGAAAGAAGGTAAGAGGAGGTGTCAGTATTTTCCCTTTTACCCAAAATGAATGTCAGCTCCAGATATCGGTGATCTGCCTCCTTGACGACTAATAATTTTTGTTGTTTTGATTGTCCTGATGCTCATTTTTATCCAACAAGACACTGCGGGCCGCAAGAAAACGAGCCACCGCAGAATAATGACGACTGCGGAGCATGACGCCGCAGCAACAATGCAAGCCAACATTAACGTGTGCTCTTCGGTTTTGTGATTTCGAGACACGTTTCATCCAAGAGGAGACTCGGGGCAACAAGAAAACAGGCTGCTGCAGCAAAACAGAGATTGTAATAAAAGCGTGGCACCAACGAGAACTGACATGCTACTGAGCTGTTAGTAGCGATTAGCCGCTAACGGAACCTTTGAATGTTTGTCTTACATTGTAATGTGCTCATATGCGTTTAAAATAATAATAATAATAATAATAATAAGGAATTTGTCTCCAGTAGTCTGAGCCACATTAGCTTCAACACATACGGATAAACAATTTTGAGTAATTATTTGATTGACAAGTGAAGGGTGAAAAGTGCCTTCAACGGACACACGGTTCTAAAGCTGGAGTCTGATTTATTATTATTTTTTTTTATTTCATTCAAATTTGGCAGGCTTGTTATCGATCAATACTTTTCTCTGTATTGTGTTAAATGTGAAAGACAATTTTTTTTTTTTTGTCCCTTTAGAGCACCGGTATCAAACTCAAGGCCCGGGGGGCCAGATTCGGCACGCCGCATCATTTTATGTGGCCCGCAAAAGCACATCATGTGTGTAAACTTGCATGACCCTTAATGAAATCAGTACCAAAATGTCAAATTGTCATGAATAACGTTGAGACCCTCCAAATTGTTGTAGTTGACTGTTTTCCAAACTAGTAATTCATTAATTTGTTGTGTATAAATAATAATGCGATGAGAGGATTCAACATTTTTGTGGTTTCACGGTCATAACGACCCTCCGGGGGAAGACGTAGCTCCAAAGTCGCCTCTGACAAAAATGAGTTTGACACCCCTGCTTTAGAGGGTCATGAAATGGCATCATGCATATTTTACCAGCAAGTTATTTTAGATGTGTTTTAAATTACTTATCTAATTATTGGATTTTTGCCAAACATGGGAATTGGCCTTAAAAAAAAAAATCCGTACTTGGGCCCTACGTATGTGAGTTTGGGATGTTTGAAATAGTCAATGGTTGATTTCTTGTCAAACTGTCTCAAGTACACAGAAAAAGGAGGCTCTTCTTTATAGTCCTCTGGAAAGACGGAGCAGTGAGTGAAAATGTAGACTGCTGCGTTAGCTTCGGGTCAGCTCCCACAAAAGTGCAAAATCTTCCCCGCGCTACCCCGTGACCGCCACACCTTGCGCACGGCCGAGGAAGCTTCTTGACAATAGCGACCACCTTCTTTAAACATGGATGAGCACCGGCCCGCCGTATCTCACTCCACTCGCCTGAGAGAAGCTGCTCAGGTCCGTGTCAATAATTCAACACGGGGAGTAGAAGCGCGAGGGGCAAAAGCGGGACGGGTAACGGGAAGCGGGAGATGGAAGTGGGCTTCGACAGTGCGCCAATACGGAGTTACCTCCAAACGCCTTAAAACCTGGTCAAATTTTGTAAAAAGATGCCCTAAATCTCTTACAAATTTTACACGGGGAACTGTCATGACATAGCACAGAATGAGATGTTCTGTTCTATACTAGTCATTTCTAGTTTTAACTTGCCACACAGCTGTGAGACCATGTTGAGTTTTTTTTCTTTTTTAGCATACCATCTTGAGCTTCAGCATGATAAAAAATCTCTCTCAAGAGGAGATTCAGCTTTAGCACTTGCTGCACGGCTGTGAGACCATGCGCTCTTCGAGACAGTTTCATTTGTACCACCTTTAACTTTTGCACTTTTGGCAAACCTCGAGACTGTGCAGAATTAGAGACTGTCTCGTTGGCATCACCTTAAGCTTTCTCACTCGCTGCATGGCTGTGAGACCAGGCTGACCGAGTGATGGTCTTGTTTGTCCCACTTGAAGGTTTCACACTTGCTCCATGGCTTTGAGACCATGCCGAATCAGACGGTTTGGTTTATGTCACCTGAAACATTCACACATGCTAGCAGTGAGACCGCGTTGCGTTGGTTATGGTCTTGGTCATACCACCATAAACTTTCAGCACGAAAAAAAAAAATCAGCTCAAAGTTAGGAGAAGTTTTCGCATTTGCTGCACTACATCACGTTCCAGATTTTTTTTTTTTTAACTTTTTGGAGTGGGCACTTGTATGGCAGTTAATAATGTGAGTTGAACAGTTAACATTCTTATGGTTACAGTTGGTAACTAGAACGAATGATTCCAAAGGCAACAGAATAGCTCTCTCAGAAGTCCCGATCGATCGTTGAGCTCGTCGACCCAAGGCAGCCTGGCTGAGTGGTCCATGTGCCGGTGATGGGAAAAGATAACTGCACGATGGTTCAACTTTTTAACCCGGTGCTTTTCATTCCACACTTGAGAAGCGCACTACAACCAGACCCCACCGAGCGATCGGCATCAGACAAAGAGACCGGCAGCTGAGATCGCTCTTTCCCACGCTAGCGCTCCAGTCCCCGCGCCGATGACCCTCTGAAACGCTCCGGCTCCGTTCGGCACCACCAAAACCGGCACTTTCCGGTAGTTTTGACGGGGAAATACAAAGTTTTTAGGGCGGCAAACAAACCGCGGGGGGCTGGCTGAATGGCATCCGACCAGCGGGCAACCATGCGCGGCTTCGAGGTGGCCCTGCGAGCCGGTGAATGTCTGGAGCAAAGAACAACCAGCAAACAGCTGTTTATCTATTTTTACCGGTGGGGGACACAAAGCCTCTCAGCCCGGGTTGCTTACAAGGCATTGTTCAGCTCCCCCCTCACCACCGCCGCCTTAGTTAGCACGTACGGGGGAGGGAGGGTCACACGCGAATCGTGGGTACACTTTTAAAGCTCAACTTAAGAGAGACGGGGAAGCGGTTGTTGCGGTTTGGCTGAACCGGGCTAAAATGGCAAATAAATAGGCACACTTTAAAATGTGAATGACAGTAGTTAGCCAAGTTAGCAAGTTTAGCCACGGCTAGGCTAACAACGCCCCCCCCTTCCAACACACACATACACACGCAAGTAGTGATAATTGACTTACTTTTCTCTTTGAGCTTCAGCATGATAAAAAATCTCTCTCAAGAGGAGATTCAGCTTTAGCACTTGCTGCACGGCTGTGAGACCATGCGCTCTTCGAGACAGTTTCATTTGTACCACCTTTAACTTTTGCACTTTTGGCAAACCTCGAGACTGTGCAGAATTAGAGACTGTCTCGTTGGCATCACCTTAAGCTTTCTCACTCGCTGCATGGCTGTGAGACCAGGCTGACCGAGTGATGGTCTTGTTTGTCCCACTTGAAGGTTTCACACTTGCTCCATGGCTTTGAGACCATGCCGAATCAGACGGTTTGGTTTATGTCACCTGAAACATTCACACATGCTAGCAGTGAGACCGCGTTGCGTTGGTTATGGTCTTGGTCATACCACCATAAACTTTCAGCACGAAAAAAAAAAAATCAGCTCAAAGTTAGGAGAAGTTTTCGCATTTGCTGCACTACATCACGTTCCAGATTTTTTTTTTTTTAACTTTTTGGAGTGGGCACTTGTATGGCAGTTAATAATGTGAGTTGAACAGTTAACATTCTTATGGTTACAGTTGGTAACTAGAACGAATGATTCCAAAGGCAACAGAATAGCTCTCTCAGAAGTCCCGATCGATCGTTGAGCTCGTCGACCCAAGGCAGCCTGGCTGAGTGGTCCATGTGCCGGTGATGGGAAAAGATAACTGCACGATGGTTCAACTTTTTAACCCGGTGCTTTTCATTCCACACTTGAGAAGCGCACTACAACCAGACCCCACCGAGCGATCGGCATCAGACAAAGAGACCGGCAGCTGAGATCGCTCTTTCCCACGCTAGCGCTCCAGTCCCCGCGCCGATGACCCTCTGAAACGCTCCGGCTCCGTTCGGCACCACCAAAACCGGCACTTTCCGGTAGTTTTGACGGGGAAATACAAAGTTTTTAGGGCGGCAAACAAACCGCGGGGGGCTGGCTGAATGGCATCCGACCAGCGGGCAACCATGCGCGGCTTCGAGGTGGCCCTGCGAGCCGGTGAATGTCTGGAGCAAAGAACAACCAGCAAACAGCTGTTTATCTATTTTTACCGGTGGGGGACACAAAGCCTCTCAGCCCGGGTTGCTTACAAGGCATTGTTCAGCTCCCCCCTCACCACCGCCGCCTTAGTTAGCACGTACGGGGGAGGGAGGGTCACACGCGAATCGTGGGTACACTTTTAAAGCTCAACTTAAGAGAGACGGGGAAGCGGTTGTTGCGGTTTGGCTGAACCGGGCTAAAATGGCAAATAAATAGGCACACTTTAAAATGTGAATGACAGTAGTTAGCCAAGTTAGCAAGTTTAGCCACGGCTAGGCTAACAACGCCCCCCCCCCTTCCAACACACACATACACGCGCAAGTAGTGATAATTGACTTACTTTTCTCTCGCTTGGCTATCGGAGGGGACCACGGCTCCCTTGCCCTTGCCGTACATCTTGCAGGCACCTCGACTTAGACTTTTTTTAATTTTATCCCACTCCTCGACACCTGTCAAAGAAAGCGAGCAGGGAAAGCTACTATCCCCCCCCTTCCAACACACACATACACACGCAAGTAGTGATAATTGACTTACTTTTCTCTCGCTTGGCTATCGGAGGGGACCACGGCTCCCTTGCCCTTGCCGTACATCTTGCAGGCACCTCGACTTAGACTTTTTTTAATTTTATCCCACTCCTCGACACCTGTCAAAGAAAGCGAGCAGGGAAAGCTACTATCTCCATAGCTACCCCAGTTAGTGTTCCCTCTCGCTCTCTCTGATTCTCTCTCGCCCTCTCTCACCCTACCTCGCCTTTCTCTCTCTCTCTCTCTCTCTCTCTCTCTCTCTCTCTCTCTCTCACACACAATCTCTCTCTCTCTCTCTCTCTCTCTCTCTCTCGCTCTCTCTCTCTCCCCGGCTTTCCTTTCCTTTTTTTTCTACATCCTCAACATTGCCCACAAATCAGGCAGGGTTTCAGTCCGGGCAGGGTGGGCGACTTGAAACCGTTCACTGGTGGTGGAGCTTGCAGCTTTTTTTTCTCTTTTTTTTTTTCAATCGCTGTTCCAGGATTTCGCTCACGCCCCCCTGTTGTGTGATGGTGGGGGCTTCTTAAAGGCGCAACGTGTACATTCCCCGACACCCCCCCCCCAGCTCAAGTTCAAGTTAGCTTTTCTCTACGATAGTGTCGTTGGTGTTGTTGTTGCACAACACAAGTGCTATGCTAATTCACCATGTCTTCTTAATTCCTGTTCTCTATAGGGGACCTAAAAAGCAAAATTGACTTTTAATGGTGCAGCATGGCAGGCAAGTGGTTGGTATGTTTGCTTCACAGGGGTTCGAATCTTGCCTCAGGTCTTCCTGTGTGGAGTTTAGTTCATGTTAGGTGGACCCACGGATATACTGATGAATGGAGTCAGAATGCCGCTTACTCGTTGTCCGAAGAAGTGAAGCCACCGGTGGCCATCTTACGTTGCCACTCGATAAGCCAGCCTAACTTCAATACATTGATTTCTCTGAGTCTGTACAGCAAAACCGCCACGGTGTATGGCATACGATTGTTTCATCGGTAAGCATGCGATTTAAAATGTTCTCATATGAGGCGTACCTCTGGGTAAGGTAAAGATGGACCAGCAGCGTGTTGTTACAACTACCAACAATGAAATGAAAGCATACCCCATCAAGAAAAATTCACCAAGAATTGTAAACCTGAACTCTATCAGTCACAATTCACAAAACCGAGATCATATACGCTGAATGGTCATTGAAAACAGCGATGTTCGTTCTTTACTCCATACACGTTTTGGAAGTTTTGACCAGGTATGGTTCTGAAGGAATGAAGTTACGCGCGCGTCCTGTCTCTTTAAGAATGTGCCTAGGTTGAGCTCCCTGGTTCGCGTGTATGCGCGCGTGTGCGCGAGCGCGTGTGCAAGTGACAGGCAATGTGTTCCGTTTTCACGCTACGGGCTGTGGGAAGGGCACAGCTGACTGCGTGTCTGTCTGCGTGCACGCGCGTGCATGGACGGACGTGTGCGTGCGGCGGAGCTTTATTTTCGTTCGTGTGTGACGACCAACATCTTCTGACAAGTCGCTGCAGTGAGAAGACCGAAAATGAAAAGCGATATGAAAAATATGCTCGAAAAATGCAACGATGGCACAATTGGATCAGTCTGAACAAATACGTACACAGAAATTCCACCACCTTGCGTTAGTTACATTCATGCAAACGCCACCATCAGCGTTCGCATGAAAAATAGATCTCAAAACGCGAGGGACAATTGAGAGCGTTCAATCAGCCTGCCTGAGTGAACGCTCCCACATTCCTTTTTGGAATGTGGAGTACCCCGAGAAAACCCACACAAGGCCCGGGGAGAACATGCAAACTCCACACAGGAAGGCCGGAGCAGGGATCAAACCCACGACCCCTGCACTGTGAGGTCGTAGCGCTAACCACTCAACCACTGGGCCGCCTCATTACACAATACTTTGACTAAAATAACCTTGTTTGGTTTTGCATTTAAGCGTTGCAGTGGGGTGGGGGCGGGGGGTCATTTTCGTGTCACTTGCTCAATTATAGTCGAATACACTTCCTGTCATTTCATTTTGAAAATCACTTTAATTTTACTGATACAAGTATTTGAATAAAACTGGTTATAATTGTTTCTAGGGGGGAAAAAAGTAAATTTTTTTCACATTTTTGTTGACGTCTTTCTTGTTATGTGTCTCAAATTAAATTTCCCGATTTGCAACATGCTTTCCTCAAGATGTTCATGAATTGGTGGATTTTCATCCGATTGTCGGAGATGATTTTTTTTCCACGAAAATTAACACAAATGCATTTTAGGCGCTCCATTTTCATGACTGCCGCAAATCTGGCGTCGGCGTTCGTCTGCGCGGATGCGGCGTGGACGCGGCGCTGGTCACTTCGCAAAGAGGCGCAAGCCTGCGTATTGGGGGGAGGAAAAAAAAAGAGTGGGTTGCGCCGTTGTGATTACCCATCTTCAATAATCATTATCATCATTTCAACTAGAATACAATAAAAGCAGCAAATCTCCATTTCTCTTCAGAGATGAAAATGAGGATACGACAAACTAAATGAATACCAAAAAAAAAAAAAAAAAATGGTGCCTCTATTTCCCACGCAGGAATGACAGTGAACATGGAAACGAACTCTGATGTGCATGTTGGATCAGTGCAAACAGTTCTCTTAAGTGTGCTTAATTTGGAACAATATGGCCGTGCGTGCGCATGCATCGTGACGTCACGCTCATCCCAGTTCTTACTCCTCCTCCCTCCGGTAGCATCTCTCCATCTTCTTCCTTCTCTTGCACATCATCTTCCTCTCCTCTGACCCACTTCCCCCGCCCCCCCTCCCCCTCGCTCTTCTCCCTCCATTTCACCCCCCCATACACACACACACACACACTTCTTGTCTTTTTGCACTATTCTTACTTTCTTGTCTTCCTCAACTTCACGCCCCCACCCACCCTTTCTCCGCACTGAAGCGCCCCCCACCCCACCTCCGCCTCATCTTCATCCTGCCCTCCTCCTCTTCCTCCCCTCAGCCACAAAGCCACTCAGGACAGACATTCATCAGCGAGGCCGAGATGATAGATGCTGCTCACCGCGGCTCCGGCAGCCAGTTAAGCCTCAGATGACGCCTGGCGCATACAGATCTCACCTGGCTACAAAGTGCGCGGGTGTGGAGGAGAATAACGTGCGCACGCGGTCCAAAAGTGGTACTATTTGGAGTTCAACCCAAATTTTCCCCGGAAAAACATGCTTCAAAAGTCCGATCAGAACCGTTGTCTGCAAATCCCGCCATGACGGGTTTCAACTCCATAAGCGTGCGCGAGCGCGTTTGCTACACAGCCGTGAGACCAAACTGAAAAATGCCCGGTGGTTGTTGTTTTTTTTTTTTTTTTTTTTCCCTAACCTGCTCGCTGAGAATTTTTTGTAGATTGGGTAACGTTTACCCAAGGTTGGGTTTCATTATTCATTCTAATTTCAACTTCGGCGCATGCTGCACGGCTGCGAGACCATGCCGAGTTAGCTGTGGTCTGACGAGTACCGCCCTGAATTTTAGCACATGCTTCACAGCCGTGAGACCAAACTGAAAAACGTGGTTCGTTTGTTTTTTTTCAACCTGTAGATGGGGTAACTTTTACCCAAGCTTGGGTTCATCATTCATTCTAATTTGAACTTCGGCGCATCCTGCACGGCTGTGAACCATGCCGAGTTACAGATATGGTTCCTGTGTGTAGCGCCTTCATTTTTTTAGCACACGCTGCACAGCCGTGAGAACATGCGTTCTTATGGGTACCACCTGAAACTTCAGCACTGTCCGCGCGACCGTGAGACCATGCCAAGTGTGTATTCATGCCGACGTAAACGTCAGCGCTTACTGGCAGACCATGCCGAGTTAGCGACTGTCTTGCGCGTGCCTCTTTAAGTCTTTCGTGCTTGCCGCTTGGCTGTAAGACCGTGCGTTGTGCAAAATGGTGTCGATTAAAAAAAAAAAAAAAAAAATCACATGCGCGTATGTTTTGCATGCAGATTTTTTTTTTTCCGCCACTTAACGCTGTTAAGGAGAGTTAGGTTAATTGGGGCGGCCAAAGGGGTGGGAATGTCTCACCCCCTTTTCATGATGGCCTTATTTACCCGGCAAAGCTGTAATTACCCTAACGAAGCAAAGGGGAGCACACACACACACACACACACACACACACACAGACTGAAACATCCAATCAAGAACATGTGGCCAACCCTCTGATTTGGGCATATGACAAACATGACCCATGAGAGGATCGCACAGACAAAAGCCCAAATGGGCTAACGCGGTTAACTCTTCATTATTTGTGCATAAACGAGGCCATCGATGGTAACAAGGGTTTTATTTTTATTCTTTGTGATGGGAGGCATTTATTTGAAGGAGGCACACTTGATTCCCACTTTGCTTTGTGGTGGAGTGGCGCATGGAAGGATTCAATACAGTATACGTGCGAGTGTAAGAATATTGCTTTTTGTAGTTAATATCCAGGCAGTTGGATCGCGCCATGTTTTTTCGCATTGTCTTTTGGTTTGTTCGGCCTTGTCTGGACTCTACGTGGCGCAATTTAAATGACTGCCCACGCAACAGTAATGGCAACGTATCCTTGTGACTTTGCCGATACTGTTTAAAGGGTGTCAAAGTCAAGGCCCCGGGGCCAGATCTGGCCCGCCACATCATTTTATGTGGCCCGCAAAAAGCAAATCAAGCATTTCAACTTCCATGATGCTTGCCAAAGTCTGAACCAAAATTTCAAATTGTCATGTCTAATCCATAATCACAATGTTTGAACCAGCCATTATTCTTGACTTCTGATTTCAAAACAAGTTCTCCATCGATTTGTTGTGCGCTGTGTATGTAATATGTGGAGGTGGTTAAACATTTATATGGTCATAACGGCCCTCCGAGGGGAAACCGTGACGACAATGTAGCCGGCGACAAAAATGAGCTTGACACCCCTGAGCTATCGGGATGACGATGAGAAACGATTCATTGATCGTGAAGAATGCTGCCGATTGCGAAACGAGTCGGTCAACAGTGTCTTGCAGCACTTGAGGCAAAATGGAGTTCACTTTGTGGCTGCTCGCGGCAGACGCGCTGTTGATTCAGTGTCAAGAAGTTTGATTTTGAACTTCTTCAAAGTATGACATAAAACATGAGAATTTGCTCAGTGTCCCCATAGTTGACATTCGAAATGGAGTCAAATGTCCATCCCTACATCCAACAGCATGCCTGTGTGTATACGATAATAAACCGTTATTAAATTTGATGATACAGTGTGCA